TGTACTGTCACTTGTTTCTTCGGAAAAGACATTGACTTCCCCCTGGCTACACCCTCAAAGTCCCCCCTAAGCCTTGTTTTCCAGGGTGAACATCCCCAGCTCCCTCAGCCACTCTGCACAAAACTTGTGCTCCAGACCCCTCCCCAGCTCTACTTCCCTTCTCTGACTGCCTCCAGCACTTCAATGTCTTTTCTCAACTGAGGCCCAGAAATGGACACAGGACCTGAGGTGTGGCTTCACCAGCACCCAGTATAGGGGGACCATCCTGCTGGGAATATCCCTGCTCCTACTGGCCCCACCATTCTTGATAGATGCCACGATGCCTTCTTCAGGGTACAGCTGGCTTCTGTTCAGCTGCTGAGCACCTTTCCAGCCATTCTTTCCACAGCATGTAGCTCTGCATGGGATTATTGTAATGGCAGGACTCAGCACCCAGCCTTAAGGTTTTTGTTCAATTTCAGCCCACTGATCCAGCCTAAGTCTCTGCAGGACTTTCCTACCCTCCAGCAGATACACATTTCTGCCTAACGTAGTGCTGTTTGTAAACTTACTGTGGCTACACTCAATGCCCTGGTCCAGACCACAGGTAAAACCAGCTGTCAGCTGAATGTAACCCCATCCACCTCCACTCTCTCCTCACACAGTTTTTTTATCCAGTGAGGAGTGCACCATTCCAAGCCATAAGCAGCCAGTTTCTCCAGCAGAACACTGGGGGAAATCGTGTCAAAGGCTACACTAAAGCAAGGCAGACAACATCTAGTCTTTCCCTCATCGACTAAGATCACCTTGTCAAAAAAGACCATGTGGGCTTAGCAGGCTTGTCTTTTGTAAACCTGTGTTGGCTGGGCCTAATCCCCTGCTCATCCTGTATGTGATTGCTACGTGACTGCAATCAAAACTACTTGCTCCATGACCTTCCCCAACACTGAGGTCAGGCTGGCAGGCCTGTTGGTTCCCTCGATCTTCCTTCCAGCCTTCTTGTAGATGACTATCTGCTTACTTGTATTAGGTCTGGCTGGGACGGGTTCTTTTCCCCATGGCAGCCCTCACCTTGCTGTGCTGTTAGTGACTGGTGAGGTGCTGGTAACAGAGTGGTGCTTTGGCTACCTCTGAGCAGCCCTGGCCCAGCATCAGCACTGTCTCCCCAAGATTCTGCACCCCCACCACCAGCAGGCTGGGGCTGGGCAAACCCGGGAAGGGGACATGAAAAAGACAACTGACCCAAACTGACCAAAGGAATATTTCACATTATACAAAGTCTGCTCTGATACAAAGCTGAAAGGCCAGAGTCTATCTTCCAGAAATTCAGGATGGCAGTTCTGCTGATCTGCCTCCTCACTTCTCTGAGAACCAAATGCTCTATAATTTTGTGATCTCTGTGCCCAAGACAGCCTTCAACCACCACATCACTCAGCAGCCCTTCTTAGTACACAAGTCCACCGGGGACCGAAACACCCTTGAAAGCCAAAAGCCTGGTCTTTCCTGATAGTAGCTCTGCTGGTATTTTTTTTTTCATAGTGCCAAGTATCTTAAACTTAACATCTTCATAATCAGCTGCAACCAAGACAGCCACTAATCTTCACCCATCAGACTATCTTTAGTTGCAAACAACAGACCTAGGAATGGAACTTTATCAAAAGCAACCTTCTATGTACTTTAGGATCTTGACAAGCTTTTGGAGTGCACACATGCAAACTTCCTGAAGGACAGCAAGGACAAGTTCAGCATCCTGCAATTGGCCCAGGGCAACCATCACTCTAAGTATAGACTAGTGGATGAAGGGTTGGGACCAGAGAAGCACTTGGGGATACTGATGAATGAAAAATTAGACATGACATAGCAATGTGCACTCAGCCAGAAAGCCAACTGTGTCCTGGGCTGCATCCAAAGCAGCGTGGGCAGCAGAGTGAGGGAGGGGATTCTGCGTCTCTGCTTTGCTCTGGTGAGATCCCACTGCAGTGCTATGTCAGCTCTGGGGTCTCCAACAGGAGAAACACTTGCAACCTGTTAGAGAAGGTTCAGAGAAGGCAAGAAAAAACAACAGAGGATGAGAATACCCCTCCCAGAAGGAAAGACTGAGTATTGGGTTTTTTCAGCCTGGAGAAAAGACAATTCTGGCAATACCAAATTGTGGGCTTTCAAAACTTGCAACATAAAACACGGAGACATTTACCAAGGCCTGTGACAGAACAAGAAAGAAGGTAGATTTAGACTGGATGTAAGAAAGACCTTTTTTTCCACGGAGGTGGTCAGACAAGCAACTGGAGTCAATTGCCTGAAAAAGCTGTGGAAACTCAATCCTTAGGAACACTCAGAGTCAGACTGGATGAGGCTTTGAGCAACCTGATCCAGTGAAACATTTCCACACTTACACTGGAGGGGGTAGTAGAGTTTTGTGTTTGGACTAGATGTTATTTAAGGGCCTCTTCTAACCTTAAATATGTCCTTTTCATACATTTCCTAGACCTCTTCAGGTCTTTTTTAAGGTGGCACAGACAGCATAAACTTTAATCCATGAGTAGATTTCAAATGTGTGCATTGAGGTCTCCTCACTCCGTTGCTGTTATCAGGTCCATTAAAGCACATACCAGTAACATCTGTTAAGTAAGCAAACACAACTCTAAGTCACACATTATGAGAATCATGCTTTCAAATTCATTCGCATCGAAAGAGAGTAGATTTGTTCAGCATATCCTAAAACATTAGTTCATCTAAGACTGTAGAAAAGGGGGGAAAAAGGCAAATTTTAAAAAACTATCTTTATTTTTTCTTACATTTAAACAGGGATGTATTTCAGTTTTAGACATCCAGCCATTGTTTACTTCTTTACTGTAGACAGGAAGAAAAATTATATAAATGCAAATCATATTGGCATACCTACATTAGTGCCAACTGCTTTACCAGAAGAAAACCTTCTTCCGCATTAAAATCAAGCACTTCAATTGCTGAAAAGCTAGTGTCTTGCTAATCATTTCAGCAAATAAACAGCTTTTATATATTCAACCATTTTAAGTCCATAATATTCACACTTTCTTGTGATGGAGTTTAGATCATACAAACACTGTAGAGATGAAAAACCTCCAAGAATAAAACTCACCAGGTGCGCGAGAAATACACATACCACATGTACAAGCAACAGATTTGGTCAAGTACTACAAAGAAGGATGTGTTTTCATAAGAGAATGGTCAAGTGACGTACTTCTCAGCTCAAATGAAAACAAAGAAAAAACTTCATGAAAACAAAGAAAAAACTTCAGTAACACACCCTGGTGGAGTGGAAACTTATGACCTGTTACACAGTGTGTATTTGTAGGCCAAGTTCAGATTTTCTAAAACAAAACTTAAGTGCATGAACAGTAATAATGACAAAGATTGAAGCATACATATGAGCACATAATCCAAACAATAAAATACAATTTTGGCTCTTACTGAAAAATAAATTACAAAATAAAATTAAAATCCTTGTAAATGCAATGATTAATTCAAAGGTGTACCTTTGCTTTTATATACATTTTAAATGCTACCACAAAAACAGAAGAAAAATAAATAAGAATGCCAAAAGATATTTGTGGACAAATGAAAAAAGAAAAAAAGATGGTACTTAGCTCTAGAAGAATTCTAAAGAAACAGAGATAATCTGTGTTTGGTCAATAAATCTATCTAGTCACTTCCATCTTCCACAGTCCTTCTTCAAAACTGGCAGTTAAACATGACAAAAAACAGAACTCTGTCACTATAACTTTAAAAGAAGCATGTATTTTCTGAAGAAGAAAATACAAAATGGGCTGTCTTGCCTACAGAACTGTTGGTTTGTTCATACTGCAAGCACTTCCATCCAACTGTAGAGAAGCGTCTGACACATCCTTGCTGTCCTATGATACTAGTGAGCTTACACTGCAAGACAAGAAAATTCCAGGAAAAAAAAGCAGGAAATTTGGGATGCTCTGGGAGGGTATGCAGTGAAGGCAGAAGTCTAACTCACTTCTGTTGCATTTATTTTCTAAAGAACACATAGTACACCTCTAACTTTACATGGCACGTCCATATTTTCAAGTTAAAGATGCTGTCAATCATCAACTACCTTAGTGAACATACAGGCTTTCATACTTATTCTGCTTTAACCAGATTCAGTATTTGCTCTGTAGTGCTCTTTTGAAGGTAATGTGATCTTGTTGACATTACCAGATGTACAACTTAAATTATACAAACATTTGTACTCTTGCACAAATACTCTTATAACTTCTACTGTACTGCAGTATTCATTGTAGGCAAAAGAAAAGCAGGTTTTCAAACCAAAAGGGTATTGGAAATACTTTCTGTTAGTAGCACCAGCATTTTGACAACTGTCAACAGTTAAACCAGCATCCCCAGTATCTCTAGACAGTGGCAATTTGACTGGAGTAACAATTTGACTAACCAGTAATACTGAGGCAAAAGAAGAAAAACAATGCAAATGTCATAAAATAAAACTTAATATTTTATTATTTTGCATTATTGTTGTGTATCTGTATTTTTCTTCTTAATTTTTGAAGAAAACTGCTTTAGATACACTGCTACAAACTCAAATAACTGATTTATGACATCCGTCTTCATCTAAGACACTGCTACTACTTCCTAGGAAAGAAGAAATACTTCTCAAGTTCAGTTTTGCTCAAGATACTGTTCATTTTCTATCATTTCATTGGTCCGTATGTTGATGGTCAAAGAAGCACTCCTATTTGACAATATCTTAAAGCTTTCAGAAGAGATGAATTAAAGAAACAGAAGATGGATGCAGAAGAACTAAATCAAAGCACAGAGGCATGACATTGTTTCAGAGAGTCCTCGGAAAATGTGTTTATTATGGAGGTTTTTGCTTTGGGTTTTGTTGTTGTTTTTTTAAGATCACAAGACAACAGCTGAACAAATAAGCATTTTTCCGTGTTCTGTTTGGTTCTAGTCATTTGTTGCGCTGGATGGTTTTCCTTTTCCTCCGCTTGAATAAGCAGCAGCACCTGCAAGTGTGACATGAATTACATTTGATATAAAAGAAACCACAAAACTAAACTATTTACTCTATGTCTCATTTGAAGTACATAGCTCAGGTACAGCCAGCACCACAAGGAACTCATTAAGCTCTATTGCAGGAAATTGATTTATTAGAAAAAGAAACTGAAGTAGAGATATTTTTGACACATTTCACCTTTTTTGGTAAAAAGTATCAAACTAAAGCTAAAATGCAAGTAGCTATTAAGCCATTAAGTATAGATGAGAGTATCAAAAGCACAGGTATTACAGGCTGACTTAAAAAGGTATTTGTAATAAAGAATATTCCATTACCCAAGTACTCTTTCATATTAACTGGCAATATGCCAAATGGAAGCTTGTGTTTATGACTGTGTCACCTAAACTGTGCACTTAAAACACTATTGTTGCTAAAACAAGAAAACAATTTAAGCTTCCTTTGTCAACCAGAACCTAGAAAAACTTTGTCCAAGGCTATTCCACAAGACATTTTAGAAGAAAATTCTAATGAACAACATAATTAATACTCTGACTCAGTGCTGTGAAAATAAATATTACAGGGAAAAATTACAGCTTAAATATAAAGAACACTGATAATCCCTCTTCTGCTTTATTGAATACTACATGAATGAAAGAAACTGACAAACACTGTGAATTTCACTTAGCAAACTGAGACAATCTGAAAGCACCTGAAAGAACCCTACAAAATGAAAAAGAGTTGGAGGGAGTTAGATATAGATAATATACAGAAGGACTGCAGAAGTCCAGAAAGTACTTTTGAAAATAAAGAGGAAAACAACAAATCACACACGCACACACAAAAAATTCCTTTAAATTGTACTGCTAGGCTTATTTTAAGCAACTCTCAGGTCCTGAACACCACCTTTAAAAATAAAGCTTCATGCTGAACTGTTCACAATGTGTGTGACCAAAACTGAGCATGCAAGTTGTCTACTCTAATAGAGCTTGTCCCATGGAGTTCTGTGGTTTGGTTACTGAATTCTCACTTGCAGCACTATACACTGATGAGTCTTAAACTATGAAGCACAGCAGTAGTGAAAATATAAATGTACTGCATGAATAGCCTTGATCGGTAAATCCTTAAGTTCACCAAGCATTTATGTCATGAAAATTCAAAAGGAATCCAGATGATTTAGTTTGGAATATGGGAAATGGGGAAAGCATTTAAAAGTCAGGGAGACTAAGGGTCTAAAAATAAGGTTCTACAGGGGGTGAGAACAACATCCAAAGTTAGGGGAGACAGAAGTTACCTTCTCAAAATATCCAAGGCACCCTGTTGCTCAGTCACTGAAAAAGTAGCAGTGGGCAGAGACAGACCAGAACTGCTCTGAGAGTTACATAACTTTCAGTAGAAAAAAACATTCGTTATTGATGAAAAGGAAGCCCAAAATTAAAATTCAGTAGGGGAAACTACACAGATAAGTATTTTTACAGCTAGCAGAAGTATCATACTGTATTTACTAAATTTGAAGTACTTCTTAAAGAAGAAATATAATTGGTTTTGAAGGGTAGGAGCCACTGACTGCAACTGAAATTCCCCCATAACTACTAACCCTTTTTTTAGCATCTGCCTATAACCACTAACATTCATTATCACTTAAGCTTTGAATCCACTTGTAGATCTATGAATCCCAATTTAGTTTAATTTCTTTTTCACCCCAAGAATTTTATGTATGCCATGTATCAAAGCGAAGCAGCTCTCCTCATTTCAATATGAATTATCCTATGATCTTGTAGATGAGGAAACCCTACCCTCATCTGTGATGGTAAATCACTTTTATACTTGCTCAAGATTAGCATGCCTTAGGGAAAGCCCAAAGAAAAATTCTGTTTTGATTTATAGCATTAGAATATACAGGTTACATAAGTAACCGTGTAGGAAGATGGAATTTATATTCTAGAACAGCTATCTAGAATTTTAACTCTTCACTCTATTTTTAAATAAACTTTATTTATATGGATCACAACCCAAGTAGATCATACTTCTTAAACATTTAGGACTACTTGGATCCTCTCTGGAATTCAAGGACACTTTAGGTCTTCTTGCTTTTCTTATTAGAAAATTTTAACTCATCTTTGCTGCAAATCTCATACGGTCTTTTATTCCTTCTCCTACTTCTCTGTCAACCAGAGAAAAAGGGCACCATGCAATGGTAAAATCAAAAGTTCTATTTTTAAGCAACATAAAGCACAGCTTTTTTAGTCTTCTGGTCTTCTGGAGTTTGCATAATACTACTATAATGAGTGTAACTTCTATTAACAGTTCTTTTGTTTGGTTTTGTTAAACTATAGAAACTATTCAACTAAATTTCAATTCAAGGAGAAATCATTAAATGCTGAAAACTTTTATTTGGTGTGGAAAAATAAATAAATTAATAATATATAACACATCTAAAAAGGACTAAAGGAATGCAAATTCCATGATGAATTGTAAACCATAGGACTGTTTTGGAAATAGAAACTGAAGTACACTTAAACACTGTGATTTTTAAATCTAGAAGTGCTAGACTTCAAATTGGCTTCCGAAGCCAAATAAATGCAATTTTAAAGTATATGCACCTTTAAATGGGATTATGGTAGAACAGACTCTATTGCCTGACAATAAAATTTCTGAAAGAAACATAACCCTGAGTCAGAGATTCATAATGCATAATCTCTCCATGAGTATAATTCGTAACAGAAATGCAGGCTTGTTCTTCAGCATACTGTCACTAGAGGGTGTTATTGTCGCTTCTACATAATACAGATACTACATTGCTCAGAGCTATATTTAAAGCTATAGGTGCTTTATTAAGGACTATTAAACCACAAATTTATTACACTATTCAATATGCATGAAAATACGGAAGAGGTAATTTTTAAAAATTTCTACTTCTAGGAAAGTATTTTTTAAAAATAAAGTATTTAATGACTGCTAACCTTCATCTGGAGTTTATTTAACATTTCTAGAGTCAGCAGTATAACAACAATCTGTAAAATGCAAAGAATACTGCACTTTTCCTGTACAATCTAAAGTGTCTTTTGAGGTATTAACTGAGGTAGCAATCTCAACATTATAGTTTTGAACAGTTTTTGTCCTTCCTAGGTCATTATCATATCTTTTCCCTGTTAAATACCCTTCCTTCCAGTTGAACAGTACCTTAGGCCAAAATTCTAAAGCAACTTAATTTGTCATTTGTGTTTAGACAGCTATGTTTTTATATTTGCCATCAAGCACGTGGCAGGCACTTTACTGTAGCATTAGAAACAAGTGTTAAAAGTGGCAAAAAAGATGCAAGATGCAAAAAGGACAGATCATATAATCACTTCCTTTTTGCCATTCTCTGCCTTCCCACAGAAGAGCCTTTTGGTTATCCAAATCACACATGTTTCACAGAAGCAACTGTTCTGTGGCCAGCAAAGAGGAAAGACAGGTTAATTACTCAGTGATAAATGAAAGAGCATCTGTAGAAGACTACAGATAGATCTGCAGATCCCCAAGTGTCAGGGCAGCACAGTGATCAGGTTAGTTTTCACCCTGCTTTACAACTTCATTAAGTAACAACTGAAAGAGGACAGAAAGCAACTTTTCTGAAAACCCAAACCAACAAAAAGAACCAACAACCCCCTCCACCCCCAACACTCACAAACAAAAAAACCAAACCCACCAGAATTCCCAAAACACAGCACCCACTGCTAAGTCATGCTAGCTGCACACCCACCATGAAAATGACACGGCATAAGATTTAGAATATATACTGCATGAGAGTAGATAAATAATTACTGAACAATGTAATGTTTGGTTAAACCTTGGTTAAATGTCCCAAAACAATAAAATCTTTACAGAATTAAAAAACCCCAAACTTATCCTTTCTGAAGTACAGGATTTCACCTGAAATGGTAGCAGAAACTCAAATATTCACCTAAATTACACTTATGTTCACAGTTAAAATCCTACATAATGGGGACAAACCCTCATGTCCCTCATGAGGGGCACCCCTTTTAAAAGAAGATATAGTCATGCTAAGTTTCTAAAACTAAGGAAACATCTAAAACAAAGAATGAAGCATTTCTAAATGAGATTCAAGTTTGTCTTTTCAGAGTATAAGGAAACATTACAAACAGAAGATATGAGCAAGAGAGGTTAGCTTTGTTCATACTTTCAGGAGGAAAAAAGATTATGAAAAAGGCACAAAGTTAGACACATCCTTGCCATCCAGTGTCTCCTTAGAAGAAAAAATATCCATGTCACAGACATGAAGGATACTAGTAATCCCATTCCCTTAACTTGTTCCAGAGTGTAAAATCTATAAACAAATGTTTGAATGTGTCACAGCCCTTTTTGATATTAGGCTTGTAATTACGGTGTTAAAATGTAAAATTAAAATCTTCTAAGTGCTCTTTCTGAAAAAATATGTTTACCTGTGCATTGATGTTTGATACTAAAGCTGAAGAGGAGGTGAGGGTGAGTGGGCGTGCATGTATGTTAATTAACTGTTAAAATATAAAAGAATTTCAAAATATAGAAAACTACCCCCAGAAAAACCTCTAGTCACTCAGGAAACTTGACTTTAAACAGACAGTGCTGGAACATTAATTTGAGTGTTACATACTCAAAAACAAGAAAATCAATCTAAAGAGCAGGACAATGAGACTAGTCATTTTGTCTGTAAACAAACTAATTAAGAGCAGGCCAAAAAGGTCAGGGATAGAATATTTGTCCATTATGTATTCATATCAGAAAAAGTGAACTCCTATACTTCTCAAGCAGCTGAGCATCTTGGCTCCTGAGAATTCTCTTAACTTTCCGCAGATATCTAATTAAAATAGGGAACTAAAAATGGGTTTAATTGTGCTAATCACTACTCAAAGTACAAGAAATTTAATCTTTTTCTGTGTGCACATGAGCTGAGCATAAGGAAGATTATCACTGTGCTTATTTGAAGAGAGGGGATAGGGAATTTAGCTATGGGCAACCTATCAATATCCTTGCCCCTTTGGATTTTTTTTGTTTCATATATATATGTGTGTGTATATATATATATATATAAAAGAACAGATATATTTTTGAAAGTAAAATAATACCATACTCCACAAAGATGGCAGCAAAGAATGTAGTTCTCCTCAGTGTTCACTGAGAAAGCCAGTGCAAAAATGTGGCCCTACAGACACTGCCATTCAAAATTATGAATTACACTTGCAAATAAAGCTTACCTACCAGAACCAGAATTTGTGGAACAATTGCTTCAAAAAAAATTTCACTTTGAGAAATTTCCCTTTTATCTAAAATCCGGAAAATGGGTCCTAGAAAAACTGCTGCTAGTGAATTGCTCTGCTGCTAATGCAGTAGAGCAATAATGCAGATACTGATGTATCCTTCATACCTATGTGCTTTTATTTTATGATAAACTAAATCCATACCCTTGTAAAATCCTATTTCAAGCACCACTATAAAATGAAACATGCTGGAATTCATATCACCTTTAGCTACCAAGAATATTGTTCTGTACTATTTTCTAAGTCTAAGTTTACTACTCAAATACATAAATATTAGTTGTCCATCCCATGGTAACAGATCTTAATACTTTTCCCTTCCATTGCACTGGACATAATTAAGAATTAAGGAACTCTGAAGTTATGTTTTAGTGATTAGTTAGAAAGTTGTCACAGACTAATACTTTGGTAAATAGTTTGTTTACAGAGATAATTGGAAAAGTTCAAACATCTGCTAGCAATTATTACTTATTCATGCGAATTATTTTCCAGATGTTAATACACTAGCTGAATTCTACAATATTTGAAAAGAATGCTTTCCCCTTTCAAACAGAATAGAAAATAAGAAAAAATATTCTAGTAGCTGTTAAAAAGGTTGATGTAAAGTACATCACAAACTACACAACTTAAAAGCAAGCAGGCTTTGAAGCAGGCAGAACAGCTCCTGAAGGTGGCGTTTTGTAAAAACAGTTAATTGTTTCACAAAATTAAAATGTATTTTGTCATTTCTAAATAGATATTTTAAAGTTTTCTGAAGTTAGTTTTAAACAAAATAAAAAGAACAAAGCTCCTGGGGCTATTTCTGCCTGCCTGTGCTGTATAACTCACCACATGTTCAACACTTTCTGGCAGCTATACAGAAAGAGAGCAAAGGAAAAAAGAGAATCAGAACACAATATAGAGGAAGAATTTTACATGTTCTATGCATGGCTTTTGGTAGTCACAACACTATCTTAAAATAAATATTTCAAAATGAGTTGAAACATCAAAAATGCATGCACTTCTCTAGCCAGCAGAGCAAGACATGTCATTCAAGGCTTAGGCTTAAAAAGCACGAGCTATAGGAACTCTACTAATTAGAAACTTAAAGACAAAATTAAGTATAGCACTGTAGTTTTGCTCCTCACCAACAGCTATTCAGTTCAGACAGTATTTTCTGAAAAACTATATACAAAAATATTGAAGCAGCTGAGCACAAAAGATACAAAGAAGATAAAAAGAAGGACATACTTTGTTTCATCCATTACTTCTGCTTCTGCAGGAGCTGTGATGGGTGCATTTGAACGGCCTGCAGTTGGGTCATCCGTGTTCAGCTCTCCATTTGTTGAGCTTACTACCTGAAATCAGAAGAAAGACCTGAAAATATACTAGTGCCAGACATACATTTGTTAATTCCTAAGGTTCCAATACATCTTAAAAAAACAGTACTTTTTATTATTTCTATAGTTATTTTTATTCCAGTAACAGTATTTTGTCCAGGTTTAATTCTGGCAACCCTGTGCTCTTGTAATTCTCCTTTCATATCTATTAATGGAACTAACCTCTACAATGAACTCACAGTGAATGGATGAAGCAAAGCAACTCTGTGGATGTCATTTACTAATCTCCCCCACATCTCTTCAGAGCCTTAAGGGAAGGCACTAAGCACTTTTCCAATATCAATTCAGTCGGGCTACCCTATCTCTGTTCCTTTGGTGTATTTATGTTACTTGGTTTAGCTCTTTATATTCACACTGAATATGAAGGTCTGCTTCAGTTGTATCTCAAAGGACACTCACCCAAATAGGGAAAAACTAAGGCTGTCTTCTAGACATAAGAGTATATGATGTCTGATTTTTAGGACATGAAAATATCTACTGCCAAAAAATTTATAAAAATTAGATTAATCTTCATTCCTATTAGTTTACCATGAAATTTCTATGTAAATTGTTCAAGTCACCGTGAAAGCTGTGGTTCTCTAGGAATATTTGTTGGGACTTTAAACCAAGTGGAACCCGATATTCCCTCCCTCAGTTCCTGTCAGCTTTCCTGCACGACAAATGGAGACATTCCAGAGGCCTCTCCATTATCAACCCCACAGAATACAAAAAGGAAGATGGTTAACTGACGTAGACAAGTGCCTACCTGATCAGAGCTGTTGACAGTGCTAATTGACCCACTAAAGTGTTGACTTGACACCATGGAAAGGTCTACCAGATATTAAATAGCAGCAACTGCTCGGCAAGCTAGCAAGCACAAAAATGTAATTCTGGACAAATAATATAAAAGTTTGCAGAAAACATCTGTAAACAATTAATCAGCTCTAGAGCCACTAAGAGTAGTCTGTAATATAAGATTATAACCAGCTGCTGGCTGATAGTCAGAGATTAAGGCAGATGAGAGAGAAAGAAAATCACTACCATAATATTATTTCCCTCACTCTTCCAAGCTCTCCTCTTGTTATAGCAGTTATGTCTCATCTATTTATAACCAGAGCTAAGAGCATAGCCTATTGAGGTTTGTTTTGTGGTTCCTATTGTAACTAAGCACTGCATCTCAGAAGTTTGCTGCACTCAAGGCATTTTCCATGCCCTTTGCCGACATCAGGTCAAGTTTTCTTCTTTTTCAAATTTCAATAAAATAGGAACCACTGCTAAAAAAAATCCTGCAGGTTCACAACAAAATTAATGATACGCAAGATCGCAGGAATCTAACTACCTAAATTTTAGTCAATATAACTGAAGGAATCATGGGAGACTGGACTTTATTCCTGCAATGATAAGTAAGTCACTGGAGTTTCAACTAGGTGTCTTAAGCTTAGTTTTGTATCACTGGGCATGACAGAAGCACTTCACATTCAGTGGCAGAAATAAATAGGAATTTTACTTTAACAAACCTTAAGATGGTGAGGCAGGCATCCTGACCAAATATCCTGGGTTACTAGTTATTGGGTTTTACAGAGTCACAGAATATTCTGAGTTGTCATCATTACATATTTACTAAGAACAGGGATATAGTATTATCCCAACCACCTCACTAGGTATCTTACTGTGAAGGTAATTTCATTGTTTCTCGTAAAATACCCAGAGTGGAAAAGTGCATCAGAAGTATTTGCTAATTAAGATAGGTGCAGTCATAAAAATGTAAGGGTAAAAAAAACTTTACTCAACTTGACCATCAAATGAGTCTGGCTCCAAAGGAAGCACAGAATGGTTATGGCTGGAAGGGATTACTGGTGGGGTCATGCTCACATGGAGCTCCCTGTGCCTAACTACATAACTAACCACAACTATAGCCTGCACTAATCCATATAAAGCAATGTCACCCAATTAATATTGTAGTCAACCTTGCCTGCAGCCCTTATAATGCAGGATTTCTGCTCCATAATCTAAGATTAAAAAGAACCTCAGATCCATGCTCAAGATTGAGTAAAAGTGGTTGATGAGAAACAGAAACCCTCAGTTTACCCAAACAGAAGTAGGGCACATCAAGAAACATCAAGACAGGTATATGGCCCTTTCTGGACGGGAAGCAAACACAGTATAACTTAGCATTCCTGACTGTTGTAAAGAACGGGTCACAGTCTGCAAAGGCATTTGCAAGAACTCCTGTTCTCTTTTCCTAAAAAACAAATGAAAAAATGTATGACTTTTACACAGATATCAAACACACAGGCCAACTGTAGCATCTGTAGGGCATTCATATGACACTTTCCTTCACACTTCTTTGCCAGGAGCACCTGTTCAATATCTATCCTCTTGGACAACACATTTGAAAAAAGAGATCAAACTTAACTATGTACACATCTTCATTTGAATTGGAAAATATGATAGTAGGCGTAAAAAAGTCCTTCCTGCATGAGTAATACTATAAGTATTATGCGTGTGCTGTACTAATCTAAGCTGACTTCCTCTTTATAGGAGGCAAATCACCCTCTGCTGGGGTCAATGCACTACTATGTGGTAAGAAAGAACAAAGCTTACTGAAGCTTATTTTTCAAACGGACTTCAAACTCAGCCATACACATTCACCAAATACATAAACAAATTCTATGAAGTGTCTGTTGCATGACACAGTTTAGATGGGAGGAACATGAAGTTCTTTCTGGAAAGAGTTACACCCATTGAAAGTGTATATAGCATAAATCCAAAAATCAGGATCATTCATGCTTCTCCAGAACCACAAGTGACCTGAGTTTTACTCAAATCTACTACTGCTGAAAGCAGCTCTAGGAGCTCCTCACTAATAAAAGAGAATGAAACTAACAAAGACTCATACAAAGGAGTACAAGAGATAGGCAGGACTGCATCAATTCCACTGTCAGTAAGGCTACCAGGAGTATGAATTTAATTTCACATTACCTCAGTAAAGTACTCTGCAGTATGACCTAAAAAAGCCTTTAATAAGGCAAATTATTACATTTTTTCTTTCCAACTATGAGCGAATCATGTCAAAAATCTGCACAACAGAGGCAGAAAGATATGGGAACATAACAGAATTGAGCAAGAATAAGTCACCCAGAGGACATCGTATGCACTGAAGGAGTGGTACACCAAATTCTGTAGCCAGAATGTACTGCAAGTAAGGCACAATGAAAATTCATCACAGTAGATTCACATAAACAGCTATAACTTTAGGAGAGAGAAGTAACATGAAACTAAATTTGCTTTAAGAGAAACTTTGAATTTCATTTCTCTACTTGTGACTCAAGTTGGAATGGATTTTGATGAAATCAATAGCCTGATGAAAAATGAGAGGCACTATTAATCTCTTAGGAGACTTGAATACAACTACAATGAAAAAATTAGGGTATTTAAGTCATGGTTTTGCATCTAAAAATTCTGTTACAAAATGTACATAAATATTCTTCCCTAAATAGTAATATAATTACATTTCAAAAAACAAATATTTTAAAAGCTTCAATTTAGAAGTCTTACAATATTCAAGATTAACTTAAGCTACTCACCTATTTTCAATTGGGAGAATAACCACTAAACTGAAAACCTAAAACTACTTTAAGCATTTTTATAACTCCATCCTGGTTTAAATTTAGTTCCTTCAAATTTAATCAGTTCTTTAAAAGTTTTAAGAGCACCTATATAAAGAAGCATATGCATCACTGGTTATTTCTTGATACTCTCTATGCCATGAGGTAGAGAAACAAAAATTCCACCCACTACCTATTAATGACACATTCACTGTGAAATAGACTTGATTTCTTAGATACATGGTCCTCTGGAAGCTTGACAAAGGCCAAGACACAGTTAAACCAAAATACCAAATCCCTAAATGGTGACATTAAATCTTCAGTCTCTATACTTTGTTCTGGATTAGTACACTAACTGATTTTTTACTTGCTATGTTCAAAAATCAGTTAGAAAGTCTGCCATAAAAAACAAATTTTGCTGAATTTCATTACTGTAGTCACACCAAGGAATTGCAAAAATTTGGAATAGACATAGAAAAAAAACCCTTAATCCCATTAAGAATCTCAGTAAATGAATTCTCCACTCAAAAAATAAAGCCAGTCTACATCTCTAAGGAATTCATTAGTGATACTACACAATTCTTTGTTTTACCTTCAAAAAGTTGTCAGGAAATACAAAAGAATAAAAGTTACCACAATACCTTTTTAGGTCACAAAAGCTCAGCAAGATTGATTTGTTTCATCTAACACTTTACTATCTTGACTTCTTGAAGGAGAGGAATCAGGCAACTGAAAACTACTTACATCAAATACAAAAGTCTTTCAAGCACTTCTTAAGTACTTTACTGAGAACTCTTTAACCCAATCTTTCCATCTAACCTCCTTTTAAAGAATTTCCCAATGGGAAAAAAGAAAAAGAAAAGAGAAAGAAGACCAGTTAGTAAGTAATGGAAAAAATTGCAATGGAACAGATTAATACAGTCTTTATGAGAGCGCAAGCAGATTGCAGCTCATGCAGAGAAAAAAAAAATTCAGTGTTGTACAACTGACATTTTGAGAAGTGAGACAAACTTACGAGAACAAAGGCACAAAAGCTGTTGAACAAATTGCTGGGAGGGGTGACTTGATCATTAATAAGTCTGCATGAACTAGAAAAATTAACTGAGGTAAGTGGAAGAAGGGATGTCTTCCCTTTACAACTCCATTTCCTAGTACTATTTGAACTTTAACTGAATCTAAAAAGTAAAATTAGACATGTCTAAGCACTTTAGGATGTTTTGACCACAAGCCTAGGGTCTGGGAAAAATTAAATTAGTACAAAAAGTAGAACAATATCTGTTAATGAAATACCAGTTTGAACCTTAATGGTTCCCACTTCAACTTATCACTAACAGCACACAAATGTATGCTAACAAACATACATCACCAACACTCAGTTCCCTCAATGTTAATATGTCACAGAAAAGAATCACTAGCACATTTGAATAATCATCTAAAAAAGAGCCTAAGAAATGACATCAGCAGTAGTTTTACAGATGACTAACAGCACTGACCTAAAAACATTCCACTATCACTTGGAAATAATCTGACAGATCTTCATGTCTTGCAGAAAAATTAATAAAACTGATCTCAAAGATGAGCAATGGCTCATTAACATCACAGAAAAAAATGCACTTTGATTTCACACCTCAGACTCAACTTCACCTTTGAACAATTTTCTGTATGACTTTTAGTATTTGTCTCCTTGGAAGCAACTAAGAATCCTACTAAAGTAGCTAGCTAATGAAACAACTTAACAAATAGCACGATTCAGTTAGTATCCCTGCAACAAAGATGTATTTGATAACAGCCAGGGGCTATGTCACAGCATAACTGGAGATACTATGTGATTTTATAAGTGCCCTTAATAAGGAAGCATGACCACTCCACAACAAAAAAGCAATCCAATCTGAAAACATCCTGCTGCACAACACTTGATCTTCAAAGACATATGGCTGCAGTTTTGCACAGTGCTCTCATTCACGTGGCAATTGCTTAGCCTCAACAGATCTAAATGATCTGAACTCATTCAGACTGCCTGTATCCTGTGAGGAGAAAGGATTGAAACAACACTATATTAACAGTAAGGAATACTAGTTAGTATTATTTGTGTTATTTCCTGGAAAATGTTCTCCCCATCCCTGAAGGGTATTTAGCCTATTTTACAATGGAAGAAAATTTCTTGTGATCATTACATTTTACCTGACAAAGAATAAAAGACTTCTGAAGTGCCACAATTGCCAACAGAATCATATGATGACACTTTGAAAGTTCTACTAACTGTAATCTAACTAATTCAATGTGTATTTTTTTAACCTAAAATATGGGAAAAGAAGGCTTTTCTAAACATTTGTTAATGGGAAGAACAACTTTTAAATTTTTATTTACACATTGTAATAAGTATCACCTACTAGATTTTGTTACACTACACATGACAGCTGTTTCTAAAGCAACAAAATTTAGAGAATGCTATTACACTGACAGAACTGCAGCCTTGTTTTCTGTATCCTGAGCTTTTCATTCTTTCTTCAGGCCATGACAATCTTTTTTCCAAATCAAAAACTTCAGAAGAAATGTATGTAACTTAGATGGTCATAATCAAAAATGCAGCAACAATTTCCACACACAACCCCTGCCCAGATAAGACTTCACAAAGCTGAACCATTTTCATTTTGGCCTCAAAGCTCAAAATCTCATGTAGACTTCACAGTTGGCATTTTGAATCTCCTGGTATTAATTCCTCACATATTACTCCAACTATTTCACACCTATATATATTCAAAGAATAAGACATCAAAAATTTCAAAAATTAGTTTTAAAAATTGAAAACAAACGAGGAAAAGAGCTCTTTGAAGATGAAATAAACTAATAATATAGGAAAAACTTCTGGTTTCTACAGATTTTTTCACTGAGATGTGTGAGGTGCTGCCCTGGGAACCTTTTTCTAGTAAATTACTATTTGAATAATGGAGTGAAGTTTAAGAAAACATCACTAAGTAGCATTTTAATTTGATGTTTACCTAAGGAACAAAAACCACAGCTTGAACAACATAATTCAGTGAATATTTGGTTTCAGTTGCTAATACAATTAACACATTTAAAGTCTAAACTTCAGTTGTTTTCACTGAGCTAAGTATATATTCTGTAAAAAAGACACTCAACTGTTTTATTTTTGACTTTAACTAAGAAACATGCAAGAAATATTCCATCAACAAAAAGTTCCATTGTTTCAGCACCCGTTTTCAGTTTGGCAACTGAACTGTGAAATAATAAATAATAGCAGCATTCTGAACATTACTGATAAGCACACTTAATATGAAAACATGAATCATCTGATACATTACAGAAAAGTAGTATTATGTAATACAAAACAACTGATTTAGGTCATGCAAAGAAGCAGAAAATACCTGTACAGAGCCTCCATGTCTGTCAGATGCCAGGTGAGCCCTCAAATGATGTGGATTGGTTTGCTGTGAGTCCCAAGCTGCCCTATGGTCTGTTGACTAACATTTTTGAATGTATCAGGATTTATGCAAAAGAAGAAAAAAAATTTAAAACAAACAATTCATGCATTAACTGTCATATTTTTAAGAAGTACAGAAGTGCTACACATTCAATCCCTATACAGAATGCACTTCAACATTATCAACATACTTACACATGCCTTCATAAATATTTTCATACAGAGCTGAAGCAGCTAAACCTCAAAATTCTTAGTAAGAAAAAGCACATTAAAATAACCCTCCAATTTTGCTTCGGTAAACTGACACAGCTCTGAATTCCTAACACCTAAGTCACCTTATCACCTAAGTCATTAGCCTGGTTTAAAAAAAAGTGAAAATGTTATACATAAATGTCAGAATGGAAAGAGTGGAAAGAGTGTATGGAGGAGAGACAGCGAATAAGGAAGCGTGAGTTGAGAGAAAATTCACTACAGATTCACTACACTATATCATAGCTTCAAACAAGCAAGCTTTTAGGAGATATTTATGTATCTCTACATATGTAGACTTTACCAAAAAAGCACCTAGAGTCACTTTTATTTTCAAGTTCTAATAAAAACATAGCACAAATCATTAGACAAAAGACATAGTAATTCTGATAATCTTAAATGAGCAGTTTACCTGATTTTTGGATTGTTGCATTCTGTCTCTGTGTTGATATGCTTCTCTGTTTGAAGACATTGCAGGGTCTGAATGTATTGAACCCACTGGAGTAGGCTACAAATATAAACAATATGTAGCAACTGGTAAAAAAAATAAATTTCTAAGTCTCACCAAAAGTTACTGGTTTATAATAGAAAATAATATTTAAATCTGACAGCTTCAAATAACACAAAATTATCAGATTAAAGCAGAAGCTTCACTACATATTTACTAATAACAACGGGAAATAAAGCAAACTATTACTTACAGAATGTATTGAAGTAGCAATTCTACGTATTATACATTAATTTTCTGAAAGACTTTAGGCTGATACTTTCTACAGTTAGCAGTTTTGACATTCTGATGAAACCTATCAAAACCTTAAAGCAACTTTTAATGCTAAACACTGAAAAATACATTTTGCAATAAAACAAATGCTACCTTTCTTTCAGAATCACACAGAGAAGGGTGAAGTGCATAATCTGAAACTGGTCAAATATAAACATATTAGCCCTCTCTTCCCTACATAATAGAAATAATAAAAAGAAATGAAAAAATTTGAGAAGCTGAAGTAAACCCCATCCACTACAATTTCCTAAATTATACAAACAGAGTGTTTCCTGAAACCTTAGAGGCACCACAATGAAATATCCAATGAACTATGCAATATTTTATCATAGTGAACTGATAAATATCTAGAGTATACTTCATATGCGGATGTATAGCTCTTTATTTTAAAAATACTGGGAGCAAAAAAAAAACTTCATGCAATAATGACAATTACTTGCAAAATTTTAAGTTCCTTCAAAAAAAAATCCAAATTTCTACCACCTCATTTTGGATTGAGCAGAGGTGTACTTTGATAATAACAGCACATTTGGAAAGAGAATTAATATGAAGCACTTCAGCCAAAAGATAATGTTAGAACATGCATCTGCAGATGGGCTTACAATAGCAGCTGCTCTAAGCTGTACTAGCAGCCTTGAGAAGCACATGCCTTAATGAAACTCAAAACTGATCACAAAAAACCCCATTTTATTACTGACAGCTGAACTGTACTCACCAACTGCTTGCCAATCCAGTCGTATTCATAATCAAACATATAACCTTTCCGATCAAGTAAGTCTGTGAAGAGCTTTCTTAAGTAGTCGTAGTCTGGCTTTTCAAAAAAATCTAACCTTCTTACATAACGTAGGTAAGTAGCCATTTCCTCTAGATAAATAAGAAATATATACATATGCCATTATCTGTTTTAACGGATCTCAAAAAAATCCCCACCACCTTATTTAATTTTAAAGCAACTTGTACTTCTCACCATAAAACCTGAACAGTTGTTCACCATGAATTACCAGAAAGAAAAGTTACTTAATGATGTTCTTTGAAATGCCACCATATTCTGAGATATACTACCATATTCCACACATATCCTAGCAAGTAACACCCCACTAATTTTTCCTTCATGCTACCTGTTGAGATCTTCTATTCAATGTTATAATTCTAATGCACTATGTGCAAAACTGTGTGGAGAGAAATGCCTCTGCTTTCTTCTTTCTTTCCAACCAATTTTACAGAGACAAGACTAAGAATAGGTAAAGAAAGGGGTATGCCACATAAAGCATCAGTTTTGTGTCCCCAAGACCTACTCTGGACAGAATTTCCTTTCATTAGTAATGAGCTACTCTCAGCAAGTCCACTTTGCCTATCAATGATATTTTGATTACCTTTCAAGGCATTCATTTATATTTTGGAAAAATCATGTCCATGCCATACATGTCCCCTGTTCCAAGCACTTTATTACAACTTTTAAAAAACATCCTATTTCCTTCTGTCCAATTTTCCAACACCTCATTGATTCTCCTTGTAGTTCTAGAGACCTAGAAGTGACACCTGAAACTTCTAAGTTATTTTAAATATTAGTTCAGGCTGTTTCTAACACACCTTGTTTTTAATATAGAGCAGATTTCAGGTGAAAAGGCTTGCAAAATTTTCAGTGTGAAGATACAAGTGCAGACTAGTTGATCAGTGTAAGTACACATAAAGTATTTTTTTAATGTTTCCTTTACAAGAATCTATATTTGAAGAACAACAGCATTAGCTTACTGCTGCTTCAAAGGATAATTCTTCTGTCTGGGCCCAGTATTGTTTAACTTATCCATCAATGATTCAGACAAAGGGGCAGAGGCCTCCTGAGCAATTTCACTGACAACACAAAGCTGGGAGCAGTGGCCGATAGCCCAGAGGCCTGTGCAGCCCTTCAGAGGGACCTCAGCAGCCTGGAGAGATGGGCACAGAGGAACCTTCTGAAATTCAGCCAAGGCAAATGCAAGGTCCTGCAGCTGGGGAATAATAATTCTGTGCAGCAGCACAGGCTGGAGGCTGACCTGCTGGGAAGCAGCTCTGAGGAGAAGGACCTGGGAGTCCTGGTGGACAACAAGCTCTCCAGAGCCAGCTGTGTACCCTGGGGGCCAAGAAGGCTGATGGAATCCAGGGGTGCATTATGAAGAGCAGGTCAAGGGAGGTGATCTTTTCCCTCTACTCAGTGGCTATGTCCAGTTCTGAGTCCCTCAGTACAAGAGAGACGTGGAGCTCCAGGACTGGGTCCAGCAAAGGGCTACTAAGTTGATGAAGGGACTGCAGCATCTTTTATATGAGGAAAGGTTGAGGGAGCTGGGCCTGTTCAGCCTTGAAAAGAAACAACTGAGAGGGGACCTGATTAATACATATAAATATCTAACCGGTGGTTGTCAATATATTGGATGAATCCAGGCTCTGCTCAGCGGTGCCCAGTAAGAGCAGGAGAGGCAATGGGCAGACACTGAGGCACAGAAGTGCCACCCAAACTTGAGGAAGAGCTCCTTTACTGTGCAGGTGACTGAGCACTGGAACTGGTTACCCAGAGAGGTTCTGCAATCTCCTTCACTGTAGATATTCAAGAACTACCTGGACACAATCCTGTGCCACATGCCCTGGGATGGCTCTGCTTGAGCAGGAGACTGGACCCCATGACCTGCTGTGGTCCCTTCCAACCTGACCCATTCTAAGATACTGTGATCTATTACATGTACTGTAATTTTAAACCCCAGCAATTACCTATGCCAGCTTCATTTTATAAATCAAGACACAACATTTTTATTAACAGCAGACATTACCTGGGAAGTTTTCACACAATACTTCTATAGGAGTTGCTCGTTTAGTGTCTCCAATTTTCTGGTAACGTTCCTTTAATGTATCTGCCTATGACAGAAGAACAAACAAGCTTCTGAAGTTATACAGCTTGCAGACATGTCAATAAAAATTGACAAAATATTCCAAACATGTCAATAAAAGCTGATGATCTGAAAACAGGAGAGAGGCAGATATCAAAACCCACTACCTTTAAACCTTGCCAGGGAAGACTTCCTCTGAGAAAATACATAAACATATGACCCAATGCTTCCAAATCATCTCTTCTACTTTGCTCTGAAACAAAACGCAAATATTATTAGAAACTACCATCTGTGTAATTTTACATTATATTTAGAAGACTAGCTTCCAAATTATATAAAAATAATTTTTAGGTATAAAGTACTTGAAACCAAACTGAGCATGTGGGGGCATTCTTATGTACTACAGACTGCCTTAAGAACACAGCTAAACTCAGAAAAAAAGCAGATGCACACTGCAGGTATATTCATCTCAACAGCACTTTTAGCAACTTATCTGGCTGAAAAAAATCATTCTCAAAAATGCAGAAGGATATTTTTTCTTGAGCTACTGGAAAAACTTCATGATTTAGTAAACTTTAGGATTTAATGAAATGTTAGGACCAAATGTTCATTGTTCTTGCAGTAAGAAGTTAATTAAAATTGATCAACTGTAGAATTATTTGGGGATGGTTTAGATTACAAAGGAGTCTGGCCTCTGCAAAACTGATTCTTAATCTAGAACCTATAATAGCTCTGACAAGAGAGTACATGTACTAAAGGTAAGAATTACATTTTCCTAGTTTTGTTTGAGGATAAGTACTTGTTTAAAGAAATTGGCTTCATTTGGCCTTTCTATTCATATTAAGAGCAGACTTGCTTCATGCCCAGAAGAGTTTCAAGTATTCATTGTATGATAACTAACCTCTGCAATAATTAAGCACTATCACAAAAAGACCAATACAATCAAGGACATGGGTAGTTCCCCAGAGAGCATTACAGATGGCTAGATTACAGTAAGTTATGACTCCATGTGATTATGCTTTCTGTAGCCAAATAACTTCGACAACACTTTAATAAACTGTTCTTCTGAATTTAGGGAAATCCCAAAATAATTACCAATTTACATATCCAGCAAACACAGAAATTTGCAGAAGTTTTACAGATGCAGATCTTTGTCTTCATTAACCTCCCAGTCAGAATCTACAGTCCCTGTAATCTCACTTTGCCCTCCTGAAAATGAAGTGAACTGGAGAAGAAGCAGAGTAATTCTACCCCTAAAAGAAATTATCTTATTGAAAGGTAGGGCACCAACGACGTGCTAGTAAGGGTTGCAGACTATTTGTATATCCTTCAAATAGCTCTCTGAATAAAGCCACGTTATTCTTCACATAGACAAAATACCTTCTATTCCATATGCACACTCCCAACTTGGCACACAACTACTAGAAATCCTTGATCAAATGTCTCTTCTGAAACAAAAGATTATTGACTACAGGATGCCCAGTAACTATGTATTTCCTATACACCTTTAAAGAGTGGGTTTGGGTGATTTTGACCAAGTTTTGATTACACATTTAGAGCCTTTCTAGCAGCTACGCGTTTGTTATGACAATTTCATATATGATGGATCCTAAAATACACTTTTTATTCAAGGACAACATCCTTCCTTACTCATACGCACTAACAGATAAAGTTACAGGTCAACAGAGACATATTCAAAAATAACTTATAAGATAATGTGAACCTGACAGCCTCCCTCTTTACTGAAAACATTTTTTACAAGGGTCAGCTGTAAGACCACTCAAGCAACTCAGGAAATTCTCTGCACACTAAAAATATCACCCTAAAAAATTGTCTTATTACCACTATTTTGAGAGTTGAGTCTATAACTGTATTCTATATGCCACTGTCTCTGTAAACACAGAATTTGAGGACCTTCAGCACTCTGTATATCACACTGCATAAATTTAAAAATATACTACATATCACAGAACATAAAAAAATTGTTGGAATGGAACAATTCAGGTTCTTTAGGAAGGAGAGGCAAGGGAGACCAGGAGGTAATGTTACCCTCCATGGCAACAGCCAGCTGAGTGCATGGAGTTTTGTCTGGGGATGGATGAGGAGCTGACTGAGAGCTATTGGGGAACAATTAACAGGAGGGCAGGGTTAGGTGGCCACAGGCACTCCAGCCAGGAAGACTGAGCAGCTGAGTCCTTGTGGTGGTGCATCGCTCCCTCACCCCTTCTAGGCCAGTGTTATCTGAAAAAAGGCTCCTTCAGTCTAGTTTGACAAACAGCACCTGGGCTCAGCTTCTCTTGAGTATATCAGAAACCCTTTGTTCCCAGGAGTCCCTGCTGTCCAACAAGCTCCTGTTTTCTTTATGAAAAGTCTTGGAAACTATTTTTTTTGCTTGCATAGCATAACATCCCTGTTCTCACACTTTCAACTGTGTGCCAACTCACACTGTGGCCAGGATGAAACATAATTATGACTAAAGGCCACTCTCTTGTGACCCTATAAAACAGTGGTCTAAAATGAGAATCTTTGAATTCTTCTGGACCACAGCAGCTGAGACCAGCAACCTCTCTCTGAGCTGGGCCTCTCAGAACCCACTAACTCCCAAGTTTGCTGTATTCAGATGACTGCTGAACAAAAATGAATTATAGGCCAACACCTTGCTCCTCAAGGCTCAAATCTTTGCACAATGAAGAGATACAAAAGCACGCAGAGTGAGTATTTCACTGCCTTAGAGGGGAATTTTTTGACAGGCACTTTGCACTGACTGGCTGCGTGCATAAACATATATATATGCTACGGCAAACTCTGGGAGAAATGCTGCTCTCTCAGATGTTCAGGTATCTTGGATATCAAAGTTAGGCCTGAAAGTAAGGTCAGGTTATAAGATAGGTTAAATGTTGTTGAGTGTTAATTCCTATGTTGAATTGTTAAGTTTAAGGTTTAAGTAAAGGTATAAGTTAAGGTTAAATACTTTTGAGTGCTGTTAAACTTTTAGGCTGCATTCTTTTTTATACCTGCCCTCACTGTCCTTTTGTCACTTGTCACATGCATCTAAACACACACAGCCCTAGACAGTTCATTTCTGGATTTTAATAGTGGTTTGGATTTTCTCTTTTTCCTTGGTGTAACTGACTAGTAAGTATCAGAGTGAATCTTGCAAAGAACTTTGTCATTGCTTAACATTAAATCAGGACACCCTTGCTGATGATTTTTTAAGTGATCTCAAACACTCATTCGTAACAGTTGTATGCCAATATACAGGAACCACCTTATGTTCACAAATGCTGGTCCTCACAGAGGAACCTCAATCACTCCGATATCTCCTGGAGTGACAAGACAGCAAGGCATCAGCAATCCAGTAAGGTATCCTTGATGATCGCTTCCTTCTCCAAGTGACAGAGAACATAAAAAGGTGGATGTGCCATGCTGGAGCTTGTTCTCACCAACAAGGAGAGGCTGGTGGGGAAGGAGAAGCTGAAGGGCAGCCTTGGCTACAGTGGTCATGAAATGCTAGAGTTTGAGATCCTAAAGGTAGTGAGAAGGGAGCAAAGCAAACGCAGTATCATGAATTTCAGCAGATGCATCTTGGCCTCTTCAGGGATCTGCTTGGCAGAGTACCATGAGATAAAGCTCGGCAGGGAAGCAGGGTCCTAAGAAACCTGGTCAATAGTATTGAAGCATGAATTCCTCCAAGCCCAGGAGCAATGCCTTCCAACAAAGTCAAGCAAAAACCATCAGAAGGCCTGTGTGGGTAAGCAGTGAGCTCCTGGATGAATCCAAAGTAAAAAAAGGAAGCATATAAACAGGGGAAGCAAGGACAGGTAGTCTAGGAGGTATACAGAGAAATTGTCTGAGCAGCCAGAGATCAGCTTAAGAAAGCTAAAGCCCTGATAGGATTAAATGTGGCCAGGAATGTCAAGGGCAAAAGAAGAGATTCTAGAAGTAAGATGGTGACAAAAGGAAAACTAGGAAAAATGCATGATCTCTTCAGAAGGAAATAGGAGACCTGGGATATGGAGAAAGCTGAGGCAAAAAAAATTACATTGCGCCACAGGAAAGTTTAGATTGGATCCTGGGGAACATTAAATTATTTTTTTGCCTCCATCTTCCCTGGTATGTATTCCAGTCACATTACTCATGTCACAAGAAGAAAAGGGCAGGGACTGGCAGAATGAAGAACACTGTAGATCAAGTTGGAGCCCATCTAAGGAACTTGAAGGTGCACAAGTCCATGGGACCTGCTGAGATGCATCTATGAGTCTTTAGGGAGTCTCAGGCAAAGACAACAGCCATTACATCCACGACATCTGAGAAGTCATTACAGCCCAGTAAAGATTCCACAGACTTCAAGAGGAGAAAGATAACCCCCATTATTACAAATGGAAGAAAAGGAAGGCATGAGGAACTATAGGCCTGTTAGTCTCACCAAGGGCCCAGCAAGATCACACTGTAGATCCTTGTGGTAACTGTACTGAGGGACATGGAAAATAAGGAGGTGACTGATGATGGTCAACATGGCTTCAGCAGGGGCAAATCATGCCTGACAAGTTTGGAGGTCTTCAACACAACTACATGTTGGTGCATGGAAGAGCAACCAACATTATCTACCTGGATATATGCTAAGCATCTGACACTGTAACACAGAATATCCTTGTCTCTGAACTGGAGAGACACTGATTTGACAGACAAAACAAAAGGGTAAGAAATTAGCTGAGTGGTCATACTGTAAATCATAGTCAAGAACTCCCTATCCAAGTGGATACTAGTTCCTTAGGGGATGTACTGGGACTACTGTGGGGTAACACCTTAGCTGGTGGCATGGACAGCGGGATCAAGAGCACCCTCAGCAAGTCTGCCAAGAACATCTGGCCATGTGGTGCTGTCAACAGCACCTTCCCCTTGAGGGAAGGGATGCCACAGAGGGACTTGGACAGGCCTGGGAGGTGGGCCTGTGTGAACATGACGAGAAGTCCAAAGACCTGCACCTAAGTTAGGGCAATCCAAGCACAAATACAGGCTGGACAGAGAATGGAGAGCAGCCCTGAGAAGGATTTCCACATGCTGGTGGATAAGAGGTGGGACATGATCCCACAATGTACACTCACAGCCTAGAAAGCCAAACACGTCCTGGGCTGCATCCAGAACAGTGTAGCCAGTAGTGAGGGAGGGGATTCTGCACATCTGCACTGGTGAGACCCCACCTGCAGCGCAGCATCCAGCTCTGGGGTCCCAAGATACCAAGGACACGGACCTGACCAAGCAAGTCCGAATATGTTCAGTGTCCCTCCCATGAAGGCAGTCTGAGAGCTGCTGCTGTTCAGCCTGGAGAAAAAAAGGCTTCAGGAAGATATTACAGCTCCTTCCAGTACCAAAAAGGAGCCTGCAAGAAAGCTATTCAGGAGCTTTTTACAAGGACATGTACTGACACGACAAGGACTAGCAGTTTCATACTGAAAGACAGTAAGTTTAGATTAAATATTCAGGAGAAACTCCTCAGTGTGAGAGTAGCAAGACACTGAAACACCTTGCACAGAGAAGCTGTGGATGTCTCATCTCTGGAACTGTCCAAGGCAAATTTGCATGAGGCTTTGAGAAACCTGGTGTTCCAGCCTATGGCAACAGACTCAGAACTGATGATCTTTAAGGTCCTTTCCAACCCAAACCATTCTACGATTAAATAAGTTACCATTAGACAAAAAAAACCACATCCTGTGTAAATATCAGACATGTAATCAAAATTCAGTTTGCTTTTCAAGTAATTATCAGTTTTACATTTTGGTTTATTTTTCTTAAAAGGTTTGGGGGCAATCATTTATTTAAGGAGGAGTAAAAAAAACTATTTGATTTTAAAAGGGGTTGTGCCACTGTTGAAAATGCTGTAATAATCAGAAGTATATTCTGCTAGTGGAGATGAGAGCCCAGTGTCAAAAGTGTAACAGTCACCTTACACTGACATCACCATTTATGCCTGAAAAATATAGTGGATGCTTCTTTGATCTGAAGAACCTGAGTTCCAAAAGTTAGATTTAGGAAGCTAAAACCCTACACTTGAGGTGCTGTACTTTGTTGCACTAAAGAGCAACAAAGCTGGTGAAGGGTCTGGAGCACAGATCCTATGAGGAACAGCTGATGGAGCTGAGGGTGTTTACAGAAGGAGGTCTGGGGGAGAGCTTATCACTCTCTACAACTCCCTGAAAAGAGAGTGTAGCCGCATTGGCCCCTTCTCCCAAGGAACAAGACAAAAGGAAAAAGCCTCATGTTTGCCATAGGAAAGTTTAGATTGGATATTGGGAACATTTGCTTCACCAAAAGGGTTCTCAAACATTGCAACAGACTGCCCAGGGAAGTGACTGAGTCATCACTTCCAGAGGTATCTTAAAAGCCTTGTAGATGTGGCACTTAGGGACATGCTTTAGTGGTGGATTTGGCAGTGCTGGGTTAACAGTTGGTCTTGATGACTTTGAGGATATGTTCCAACCTAAGTGATTCCTCGCTCTGCTTTATTGATAAAGCACCTTATTCCTGTCTGAGAAATGTGAATGGTTTCTCATTTGCATTTTAACAGTTATACTTACCGTTAAACTGTAAGTATTGTGCAATGTTTTTATGATCAATTCAAAGAATAACCTAATTAGTGATTACCATGCAGCGATAAACAACTGGCTTACACAAATTCAAAGGGGTCTAACTGATTTCACCAGAAAACCTCTCTATAGCTGTAATAAACAAAGATCTGAGTACTCATACCTTTCTCAAGGTGAATTTATTCAATCAATAAAGACAACTTTTATTTTTATAGACATCCTGTAATTACTTTAGCTTGCTGGCATAACCTTTAATGATTCTGGCAATGCCTTATTAACAGTGTAAGCATTAAAAAAAAATTTTAAAAAATTGAGAAATCAGCATTATCTCTAAGCTGTTTTATTACTTTATGGCGCATTTCAAAGAGATCAAAAAAGCAAGGAAGCATTGAAAATCCATGCTATTGCAACCTATTGACTTTTGTGTATTTAATAAGCACACCTATTTCCTGGACACTTCACCCTGCCATGGTATACTTATAATGTGAAGGTATTATGCTACAAAAAGATACACCACATTTTTCTTTTAAGGAAAGCTAACAAAGAGAACAATACCCAAAACATGATCAAGATGATTAGCAATTAAAAAAAGATTATTCTCATAAACAGTATTTCCATAAGGGCAAACTATATTTTGCACAATACACAAAATTTGTAGTTCCTAATGACTTCAGACTGACAAAAACTGTTACTTGAAAGCAAGATGGTTTATGACAAATCACAGCTGTTTCTGTACTTCAAAAGCACACGTACCTTTTCCTAAATGTGTATTTATACTCATGTATCTAGCTGTTCCTGTAAGGCTCTTGTGTTCTCGATATGGTATGTGCTTCTTTGTTTCTGGATCTACATACTCCTTAGCTAAACCAAAGTCTATAATGTGAATAACTTGCTGGGTTTTGTTTCCGGGTCGTCCTATTAAGAAGTTCTCAGGTTTTACATCTCTGTATATCAAGTTCTTTGAATGGACATATTCCATACGAGAAATCTTCAATAAAAGAAAAAAAAATAGACAAGGAAGTTAAATTTAAGCTTCAGATTGCCACATTAAAATGTGTCAGATGCTAAATATCTTATATTGGCTTTACACATAGAAGAAATCACCCCTCCTAATATCACCCCTCTTAATATCTTAAGACCAAAGCAATATTGTCTTAATGAAGTATCTCCCAGTAAAGTCAATGAAAATTGTACACTTTTCCAAAGCAGATACATCAGTTGTTGTATTGGAAACTTTCACACTGGACATTAGTCATGAATCTTGCACACAACAGATGCTTTTGCCTCTCAAAACAGCTGGCACAAGTATGTTTTGTGTACATGAAAAGTAAAACCAGAAATTATGTCACCAAGCAGTAAGCAGCAAAGTCTGATCTATTACATATTAAAGATATAACTGAGAGACGCACTGAAAGTTCATCATTATGCCAGTTCATTCTAGCTGGACTGCTTTCTATCAAAATTTCCACATTCAGAAAAAGAACAGGAAGTATTAAATAAAGCTGATCTCTGGACTTGTGAGGACTTGAGCATTTAACAAAAAGAACTTGGCTATACATAAGTTCTATGTGTCTGTATGTCTGTACATTTGTAGTTGGAGTCTGTTATACAACTACAGTCATGTTTTAAACAGCTATTTTTAACCATTACACGTAAAAATATCACTGTTTAGGGAGGTGGAAATCTGGTAAATATGTACAGCCTTAATTGTCCTTCTTTCCACTTCCACCCACCCTCAAGTCAGAACCAAATAAGGAATCATCAAAAAACAGAATAATTCTTCATTGAATAATTTTGTGCTACAATTTCTAGAAGAATTTGGGAAATTTTTCATTTGTTTGTTTGCTTTCTTATAAGAATGCCCAGGAAAAAAAATACTTATGCTATTTAGGAGTCTCATAATACAACTGCTTGTGTGGGCTAAAATTACTTTTATTTCTTTAAGGTTTTCTTTTTTGAAAGAGTATATCAAAATTTATTATTTTAGATTGTGACAAAAACTCAGAAGACACAAGTAATTACATTCACTGATTTGAAAAACTGGAACAAAGTAAATGAAAGTAATCTAAGAGTATTCCTGCTTAAACTGTATGACAAGAATTTTAAATACCACCATCATCAATTTAAAACTGAAATGCAAATCTCCTAAGTGAAGTAAGCTTTTAATCCATTGAAGACTGATATAGTTATTCTAGTGAACACTCAAATTAACATCTATTCTACTTACCAACTGTATGGCTATCATAAGAACGGTTTTAAGAGAAAATGTCCTACCACACAAGTCAAATAAATCTTCCAGACTAGGTCCAAGTAGTTCTAGCACCATAGCATTATATTTGCCACATGGGCCAAAATAATAAACCTGAGGTATTCCATCTGTAAAATGAAAATACAAAGTAATGATAAGGGGTTAATTAAGATTAAGGTACATAGCAGTATAATTCCTACCCAATTTCAAGTTGATCATAACTTAGAAATACATTTTTCACATAGAAACAAAAATAAACTTCCTAAAAACTACAGGTAAAAGACACAACAGGAATATTGAAGATAGTCACAAAAATTTTAATGAAAAGGGTACTATTACGTATTTGACCTGTGAAAGATATCGAGATTTGTATAAAAAGTTAAAATCAGAACCTCTCTATTAGTTTTGTAACCATAAATTGAAACACGGTTATGAAATGCTAGGAAGACTTTAAATAAGCTCTTGTACAAAAAAATATACTTAAATTAAACTTTTTAAATTAAGGCTATTCCTACCTTTAGGAATAAAAGCACCTTATTATCTAGAGAAATCATTTTAAAAAAATCAAGAAGAGATTAATGAACCCAAGAGTGTAATGATACATTCAGTCTGGACTTTATAGTTTTAAATGAACACCTGCCTTAGGAACACAGGCAATCCAGAATTTTGAAAGTATAAATAGTTAAAGCCTTATGATCCAATTTTACTTCCACCTTTTTGTAGGATATGCATTGTGTGTCTATTTAACTAAAAATAACTTGATACAATTGCTTTTACTCATGTTGTACTTTTTCACGTGCACAGAACATCTTCCTCATTCAGCAGAATAAATTTTGTTTGCTTAGGGAAGTGAGTTATTCCAGATCTTTGGGTTTTTGTTCTTTAGTACACATCCTCTGTTTAATTTATTCCAAATATTTAATACTCTGAAAATGTATTCTTTTCATGTGAGCTTTTTCTACAGTGCTCAATCTTTCAATAATGCACTACACAGAAGTACCCAACCTGTTATCAGAACACCTTAATGAAACTCTGGATTTCAACTTCATCCTCTATAGATCAAATGTAACCCTAATTCTAAGTGTTTTCTACATAAAGCCTTCAATTTTTCATACCTTACTATAGATACACTGAGGGCACAAATTTGTAATTGTACTGACTACAGCTTTGGGTAAAAAATTATATAACAATTACTGTTTTAGCAAAATTAACATCAAATCAAAGCATCATTTTAAAGAGGTTTTTCACTAATCTCTTTTCCTACAAGTCTAAATATTTAAAGAAAAACCCCTAAAAATCCAGCTGTTCAGTTTTCAGAAGACTTGAGCTACAATTTGGTTTTCAATATGTATCATCACACTCGTCTCTATACTAATATACTCAAAATGCATAATCGTACCCACTTCAGAAAGACTTCACAGGAGAGCTTATTGCTACTAATGAAGAAGTACTGATCATATTACATCCTGTATCAGAATAAGGTATGAGACAGTGTTCTTCAATTTAAAAATATCATCCTGAATTATCAGAAAGATACCTAAAACACTTGATCCTCTGATTAGATGAGAATTCCAAAACATCCCAAAACTGTGTTTAACATTTAAAAACCTCTGCAGTGCATATGGAGCATATCCTGTCTAAAAGTACCCATGTTGAAAAAATAATTTGATATTAACAGTTCAAAGTAGTAGAAGTTAGGGGCTTTGGTTCTTAATCAAAGCACTCTTAGTACTTTTGCTTAAAAGCAATAAGCAGGTGTCATTCTGCTACTTACATTCTTTCTCCACATCTCTAAACCTCCAGAAGTCAGAAAGTAACAGGCTACTAATAAAAACATATATGAGGCTTTTTCTCCCACTACAGACAGATAATGCAAGCTCTCTTAGATAAATCTTTAAGAGATAGTGGTTAAGCTAAAAACAAAGAAACCCTGATTTTTAGAAATTTAAGAAATCCCTATTTTATTGACAAGATATTCCACTGCTAATTACTCATTAAGAGGAGGTATTTTATTTCCATTTTGAATTGCTCTAGCTCAAACCACTGAAGAACAAAAGAAGGAAATACGTTGAGCTTTTAAGACGCATCTCAGTTGTCTTGCAGTGAATTTAAAGAAGCCACTGGTCTTCGGTTTCTTGATTAACAATTAATTTGATTACCATTCAATCCTTTCTAGTACCTTGACAGGTCTTCTCCCCATTCTTAAAAATCCTTTTTAAAAAGTATTACCCCTTCCCAGTTATAAGCAGAATTTAATGATTGTCACATAAATGTCACTAAAAGTTACATATAACTTCCTCATCATCCATCAAAAAGGAAACTTACTTGTGGCCAAAAAAGTAGATTCACAGATTCCCCCCTAAGCTACTTTAACACTTAAACATCTTTCCTTTCTATGTTTAAAACTCTCAAAATAGAACCATTTTTTAAGGTACAAGTTATATTTCCCTATCCCTAGATATTTATACTTGTTGACAAGTACAAAACATTTTCATTTGAACGGGCTCAATTGACTAAGGTAATCTACAATACTTAGGTAACTCCCCTGTCATAAATTTGTAAATCCATGTTAAGCCAGTATGATTTCAATCCTATTTTACTCTTGAAAAAAATCAAAGAAGTCTTCACTTGGAAATTAACTATTTGAACATCACTTGGATTCCAGTTTCTTCTATAAAAGTTAGCTTTCATTACCCACCTAAAACATTACTGCTGTACACCTCTGATCTCCAAAATCAAGTCCAAACATTCAAAAAGTACTTGACTATCCACTGAGAAGGTGAGGTGGGAAGGGCAGGGGTGCAAAGAGAGCCCACTAAAACAGTTATGTGAATTGATGGATTACACTCTAATTTTCAAATACTTTAGTCCACCATGTTTATGTGCATGATGTCCAGAAAGTTTTTAAAGTTGACATATCTGACTTCCTCTACAATGATGAAAGGACAAAAAAAGTATTAAATAAAGAAAACATGACTAGTAGATTAAACTGTATCTGCCAAATCTCTTTAAAACAAAGAAAATAATAAGCTATTTCTGCTTTGGACCATTATCCATCTTGGTTGTCTCCTTGAAGAACTTCATCATGAAACCTGACTTAAGCTTGAGACTGCATGTTGTTCAGTTATCTCTAGCAATATACATGACTAGCACAGACACATTTGTATCTTAAGGAAAAAATTCCATTTATCTGCTTTGACACAGATATTATGTCATAGCTTCAATTATTTTAGGTGCGTGTCCTCATTCAGGAAAAGAAAAACTAATTTGATAAACAGGCAGCAGAGACAGCCAAAGGAATATGTAACCCACAGGTCAATGGCAATACCACTTGCATTTAATCTCATCTATGACTGACTTAATTTTGAGCTGTATTATCTTAGCAAAATGTCTCTATACAATACAACCTAAATTTGTAAAGCTATTAAGCTAGTAAGTAGCTTTCCAGTGTTTTTCAGTTTCTTGTAATACCAATTTCCTTTTAGAGCTTTCTCTAAACGAATCAAGAAGCAGACTGATGGTATCTGCATTATATCCTATTGCTGAGAATTTGTTCAGACACATAAATGCCAATAAAATACACAACACTGCTCTTGCAGATCATGGTATCATGTATTCAGCTTCTTATATCACACTGCCTTTTATTTGCAGTCTTAATTTTCATATGTGGCAATTCATTTGACATAAGCCAAAAATACCTTAAACTAGTTGGAAGATTTACAGTAACAGCTGTCTTTCACAGCACATTCATACTAGTACTCTTGTCAAGGATACAAATTAACAAACTGCCACAAACACAAATATTCCCTAGTTATTCTATGGAATCTGGTTTGAATCCTCTCAAAGGAAGCGATTATTAAACTCACAGTAGTGTGTTCTGACTTGAGCCAAAGCAGCACACACAGAAGGTCACACAGTCTCTGGAAACATAGCACCTGAATGCCACTGAAATCATGATCAGCCACGAACTATAAAACTCTAAACACAGAATGAGACACTATATCACCACAACACTTAGACTACATCTCTTACTTACAAATATAAGAATATGTTCGCAAAAAGAAGAAATAGTAATAAAATAATTAGATCTATTTCAAAAGGAAAAATCTTCTTTAGTTATTTATATTACTAAAACAGAATTAGAGATGTATTTTATTGTAACCATGATTAAATCAAATATCCATTTATCTAACATTCGCTTTGTTCACTGAACTGTCTTATCAAGCTTCCTTTCACAATTACAACTATTGTATGCCTCTCAAAGCCCAATCTCTGAAATCTGTGTGATGTCACAATACAAAATCAATATACATTTTTGCATACAGCCAGGCTTATGGCCAGTAACTACTGTTTCTCGGAAACATTATCATGTAACTCTATTATGCAGCTGCCATCTGATTCTTATCAGATCTCTTGCACTTATTCCAGGGGAAAAAATTACTTTAAATTCAGAAAATCCTGTACATGTCCTTAGGCTAAATCCTGGAAAAGGATTGGCATAAAAAAGAAAAACTGCAAGCAACATATTTATAATTTTGTTGGACTACACTTAAAAAATAAATTAGGCATTACCATTTATGTTTATTCATATAAACATAAATATTACCATATTCACATTAATAACTGAGCAACTCAACTTTCCTATCAAAGGAAGCAGATCAACAGCAAAAACTCAAAACTGAGTCAGAGTTTTCCCCAAACAGCTCATGATACAACTGCAGCAGTCATCAGTACACAGATTAACAGTGCCTATGAATAGATTCCTCTTCAGTAAAGAGATTCAATATTTAATTCAGTTTAAGTGCTCTAATACTATATTCCTAAATTAAGCCTAGAGCTTTGTTTTTAAGGATCACTTGCATGTTTAGTTTTTTTAACTTTATCATGATTACCAACCACTTCAACTAACTGCTTATTGTTGATTCCCCAGCATAATAATACCAGTCAAATTCCAACAGAAGTAATAAAGCAGGACAGCATGACTAAAAAATAAAGAAACAGCCATCAGTTTAAGACCACATTCTCAGCTACCTACCTGGAAGCATAGTTCAAAGCAATATTCATGTGAAGTTACTAATAAAACTCACTTTGCATTCATACTGAATGTGGGCTAGCAAGATGTATAGAA